GCAGAGGAGCGGGAGCCCGAGGAGCGGGAGCCCTGGGACTCCGGGCGCCGCCATGGAACTGGGCCAGGAGCCCCCGCACCGCCGCCGCCTGCTCTTCGCCTGCAGCCCCTCTCCCACCCCCCAGCCCGTCGCTAAAGCGCTGTTCGGCGCGCCAGCCGCCGGAGGACTGTCGCCTGTCACCAACCTGACGGTCACCATGGATCAGCTGCAGGGGCTGGGCAGGTGAGGAGGGGCCGGCTGGCTCTCGGGGACATCGGGCCGGGAGGAGGGCGAGACCCGCTCAGCGGCGGCCGAGTGGGGTCCGCCATGTGCACCCTTTCCCGGGGCGGAATGTTGGGCGGAAGCGGCCGTCCGGACCGCCAGGGCTGCCCTCAGGCCGAGCCAGGCCTAGTAGGGGGTCTGGCCCCCCACCCCCGCCACCCGGGAGGCGCCTTGGATCTGCCCCCACGCGGGAAGATCCGGCCCTCCTAGGCACTCCGACCCTGTGCTGAACCACCTCGCAGAGTTGCAGTTTCCTGTGAGCTTTGTTCCCTTCCAACAAAGAGGCATGGCATTTTCTCCCGGCGTTTGTGCAAAACCGCCCTTGCCTGTCCTGTGCACATGCCCAAGATCTTGCTTTCCGAAGTTCAGATCGTCTCACTGCATTTTCCTCCCGGGAGCTCCCTGGACTTTGCCTTAAATCAAAAAGTGCATCCTGCCCACAGTACTTCTGGTAAGGCTGCTTCCCCCCAGCTTTGGGCCTCCCTTTTCCTAAGCACGTGTCTGTGTGTTTCCTAACCTCTAAAAGCAGGAGTTCTCTCCCTCCTAGCCACGGACCTAGAGCCCATGCCCTCGCTTTAGGAATCACCCCAGCCTTTGCCCTGGTCCAGGAGACATGCCTGCCCATTCCTCTCTGGCCTTTGCTCAGCGGCTGACTGGGTGTTCTGAGCTGGCAAAGCGGGGTCTGGTGTGGTCTAGAAGCGATAGTGGTCCATGGTGGCCTGGCTGCTTGTTAACTCCATGGTTTGTCTCCTGTACCTAACTTCTTGTCTGGCCCTTGGCCTAGTAGTTTAGGGATCCAGATCCCAGATAGCTGACTGCAGCTTGAGTCTTGTGTGTAACCCTTTAATTATGTTGTACGAATCACTCATGGAATTATTTCTCTTGGTTTCAGAGAGTATGAGCAGTCACTGGAGGTGAAGAACAACAGCAGCCTGCAGAGAATGGGCTCCTCCGAGTCAACAGATTCAGGTATCTCAGCCTTTGCCCCGTATCTGCCGTGTGGGGAGCGGTAATGGGAGTGTCCCGAGTGTTTTGGTGAGGAGTTAACAGTGCACAGAGAAGTCATGGCAGTGGTGACAGACACTCAGCAGTACAAGGAGTCCTTGTGGCAGTTTTATACAGAGAGAATAAGTGTCACGTACTCTCTGCAAGGAGGTGATGTGCTCTTGCTCTTGAAGGGTGAGTAGTGGAGTACAATTCACTGTACCACTGAATTTTACCAAAGCCGTATTCACTAAAGTACACAGTCTTTAGCAGGTAGCGTAGTGGTTGGGGCACTGGACTTCCACATAGCTGGTTTGAATTCCAGGCCAAGGCCTGAAACTCAAGTTGGACACATGTTCATGTATGCCCAAAATCCCAAGAGGAGAAGGGATTGCAGCATGGCCATCCTCCTGGGGAGTTATTTCTCTTTTTCTCTCTGTCTCTCTAGTGAGCCCACACACCCTAAAAATCTCTTTTAAAAAAATAAAATTCAGGGGCCAGCAAGTAGTGTAATGGCTATGTCGCTGGACTCCCAGAACTCCTATGGTTCTGGTCCGGACCCAGTGGCTTAAACTCATGCCAGGCATGTGTGCGTGCGTACCCAAGATCCCAAGAGGAGAATGGAGGAGAAGGGATTGTGGCGTGGCCATCCTCCCTGGGGGGTGATTTCTCGCTTTCTGTCTCTCAGTCTTTCCAGCGAGCGCACCCGCCCTAAAGCAAAAACGTCTCAAATAAAATAGAATGAAATTCAGAGTTAAATTATTGGAAATATAATGAAATCATTTCAGTGATCCCATTATGCAGGAAACATGTCAATGCATTTCATTCTACTTTTCATGTAACTGCTGGAGTTACCTATGTTTAAACACATGAGTATTTGGGACATAGATCTTTAGGTTAGGGAACTACAAAAGCAGTTCTTAAAATGTAGGCTCCTGGGACCAGCAGTTGGCGTAATGGCTGTGTCGCTGGACTTCCATGTAGCCAACTGCAGTTTGAGTCCTGAACCTGGTGGCTTAAACTCACACCGGGCACGTGTGCATGCGTACCCAAGATCCCAAGAGGAGAATGGAGGAGGAGGGATTGCAGCGTGGCCATCCCCTCTGGGGGGTGATTTCTCACTTTCTATCTCTCTGTCTCTTTCTGATGAGCATATGCGCCCTATAGCAAAAACCTCTCCAAAAAAAAAAAAATGTAGGCTCCTCAAGGAAAAAAAAGGACCAGCAGATGGCATCATGGTTATGTCGCTGGACTCCCATATAGTCAACCAACGTTTAAGTCGACCCAGTGGCTTAAAACTCACTGAGTGCATGCGTGTGCATGCCCCAGATCCCAAGAGGTGACTGGAGGAGAAGGGAGTGTGGTGTGGCCATCCTTCCTGGGGGATGATCTCTGAAGAAGAAGTAAACTGTTTCTTATCAGACCGGGCATAGGATTTTTATTTGTGGCAATGTGGCAAGTAAGAATATCGGCCAGGAGCTCTGTAACAGCTAGCTTTCTGTAAGGCTACACGGACATCGTGGAGAGGTACGAGACAGGCAGGCGTGCTGGGGAGAAGAGGGTCAGTAGGTATACTTTGTACATACTCAGAGTTGTGTAAGTATGAAGTGTTTTCTTCTCTTCTTCTTCTTAGAATGATTTTATTTAACTCAATTTCTTTATTTAAATTTGACCAGAGAGGGACAGAGCAAGTGTGACAGTAGGTATACTTTGTACATACTCAGAGTTGTGTAAGTATGAAGTGTTTTCTTCTCTTCTTCTTCTTAGAATGATTTTATTTAACTCAATTTCTTTATTTAAATTTGACCAGAGAGGGACAGAGGAAGTGTGAGAGAGGGAAAGTGAGAAAGCAAGCTGCCAGGTCTGGGACTGAAACCACGGTCAGCCATGTGGGAGTCCAGCACCCTAACCACCACGCCACTGCCAGCCCAGTATAAAGTTTTTGACAGGCAAAATAGACTTCAGTTCTGACTAAGACGCAAGCACGAGTCTTTGTTGGCTGGCTTAAGTATTTCATTGACAAAATGATGTTCCGTGTGCTGTTTCCTGAGAATGTACATTTTCCTGCTTTCTCATAGGTTTCTGTCTGGATTCTCCTGGACCCTTGGACAGGAAAGAAAAGTATGTATTCATGGCTTTTAAACATTAGAACTAAGAAAAATGCTTTCAAGTTGCTTTTTTGTTGTTTTTTTTTTAGTTTGCTGTAGGTACAGGCACTCTCTGGAGAGAGACAGAGGGAGTAAGAAAACAGCTGGGGGAATGATTACTTTACAGTCCCTTCTCCAGTCTCCTCTCGGGTTTGGGGCATACACGTACGTGCACCTGGCATCTTGTTCAAGCTGCTGGGTCCAGAGCTGAGATCATGTAGTCAGCCATGTGGGATTCAGCCCCTTTAGCCATCACCCCGCAGGAGGATGTCCACGCTGCAGCCCCTTCTCCCTTCCCCCCTCAGGATCTTGGACTCACACACACATACCCATGTGAGTTTCAAGCGTTCAGATCCGGGACTCAAACTGCAGTCGGCCATGTGGGAGCCCAGTGATGAAATCATTAAGCCATCTGCTGGTCCCCAAGTTGACAAGTTTTTAATAAAGTTCTTCAGACTCTGGACTGAAGCCCTGGATTTAACTGTCCCTAGTGAGACTCTTGGATCCTGGAAACACTCTTGAAACTTGAGAATGAGTAGGTTGTGTCAGCAGTTTTCAGAACTTAGCCTCCTTTAATTTCAGCCATAATTTTGGTGTTCTGTTCTCACCCAAGCACTTGGTCTACCTTCTGACATCAGAGCCTTAAGAGAATATGCTTTCGTTTGTTTGTTTTAAAGTTTTGCTACAGGTCCCAGAGAGAGAGAGAGAAATGTTACCTCTCAAGGGGGATGGCCATGCTTTGATCCGTTCTCCATTCTCCTCTCCGGACTTGGGGGATGCACACACATGTGCCCAGCATGCCTTCCAAGCCTCTGGGTCTAGGACACAACCCCACAGTGGGATCCACCCACCCCAACCTCCATACTACCTGCTGACCCATATATGCACATTTTTTTCCTTTTAAGAATTATTTTTCTTTATTTTAATTTGACCAAAGAGAGACAGAGAGGGAGAGGAGGAAGAGAAAAAGTGAGAAAGCAAGCCACCAGGTCCGGGACTCAAACTTGGCCATGTGGGAGTATAGCGCTCTTAACAACCATGCCACCTACCGACCCCCAAATATGCACATTTTTAAGAGAAGACCTGGGTGTTTATTTTTTTAACCTAAAAGCCTGGTGTTGGGGGTGCTTCTAAGACCAGGACAGCTTCAGAAATTTACTCTTAACTCTTGCCTAGAATGGGTGTTTGATTTCCCCTTACTCTTCCCCACTGTGCCCACAAACTGCTGGTTAAACACTGTGCATCTGCTAATGTGAATACTTCGTGTTTTATTCTCATGGTTTACCTCCTGATCTCATTACAGCCTTGAAAATACAATGAGGAGAATAAATTCCCTACCTGTAAGTTAATTTCCTTATTTATTTTGAGCTAATACCTGTTTTCTGTCCCCTACCTACTAGCTGCCAAAATTTAAGGGAAAAGTTCTTGGTGTTTTTTTTTTTTTTTTTTTTTTGAGAGGTTTTTGCTATAGGATGTGCGCTTGCCAGAAAGACAGAGAGATGGAAAGTGAGAAATCACCCCCAGGGGGATGGCCACGCCGCAATCCCTTCTCCTCCATTCTCCTCTCGGGATCTTGGTCACACACGCACACGCGCCCAGCGTGAGTTTAAGCCACCGGGTCCAGGACTCGAACTGTGGTCGATTACATGGGAGTCCAGCGACATAGCCATTACACTAACTGCTGTTCTCAGTTCTTGGAATTTTTAAAGAGTGAGTAAATTTCTTAATTTAGAGGGGCAAGCTGCTTTTCCTTAGTCTCACAAGCAGTCCAGACACTACCGAGAGCAGCTTCAGCACTGGCTGTCCTTGAGGACTTTGTCCTCCATCTCTAACTACCGGAAATTTCTCAAACCAGGAAGGGCTCTTTTTTTGGTGCCAGTGTTATAGGGTGTATCGGGCACTGCAATCTTGTGAGGCTGGGTGTGATGGGAACTGCTGTCCTGGGTTTTGGCGGAGAAGCAGCCCTGGCCGCATTTCCTGCTCGCCCACTGCAGTGTGTAAGGAGGCGGCACTCCCTCTCCTCCATCTTCGTAGAGAACTGATTTTCCATTGAGTGTTCATTTACACACCTAATTATGTTCTCGTTTCACTTTGACAGCAGAAGCTCTTGGGATGTAGCCCAGCTCTGAAGAGAAGTCATTCTGATTCTCTTGACCGTGACATCTTTCAGCTCATCGACCAGGATGAGAACAAGGAAAACGTGAGTGTGGGTCAGGGTACTGGCCCAGGGCAGGGCTGACATCTGTAAGTGTCCGCTGTGGCAGAGAAGCGGCTGGGCTGCTCTCTGGACTAGGTCTTGGTCAGAGCTGTGTGTGGCCTTTGGAGTCTGGCGAATCTGGATGTGAGTCCTGCTTAAGAGAAGTACCTCGGAAGGTTGCTTTGCTTTTTTGGGCTTGTTAAAGTAGGCGTGGCAGTAACTTTTAGAGCTGTTGTGGGAATCTGTGCCAAGACGTGGGTGTAAAGCATTTTAAGTGGTGCCTGGGAGGTCAGAGTTGCTTAGATGTGAGCTCTTAGTGTCTGTGCCCATCAGTAGTCCTGGAGGGGCTGCCCAGGCCTTCCTCGCCTCCTTGCCCTGATCTAGCAAAATACTTTCTGGCAATATTTGATAAACAAGGCCAAGGAATTCTAGGGCACCTCCAAGTAACTGAAATGGTGTCTTGGAGGGTGAGCTGTGGTTGTCTGTCTGAAAGACTCGGTGCACTCCGGCCTGGCCGCTCCTGGACTTGGCAGGGTGCCCTGCACAGATCAGGCATTCCAAAGAGTGACTGGATTAGCCCAGCGTCCTCCGCCTTCTCTCTTCCTGTTTCCATATGCTTTTCTCCCCTTTCCAGTCCCTGCTAAAACACCCCAGTTCCTAGCGCTTACAGTCTCCCAGGGTCAGTGTAAAGCCTGCTTCCTCCGAGACTTTCCTTGCGCTCTGTGGTAACTGGGCAGGTGTGAGGGAGGCCGGAGACGCTGTGAGTCCTCTGGTGCTTTTCGCTGGCCCAAGACCACCGGCGCACGGTTCTCCCCAGACTCAGCTCCCAGGGCCGTATGCCGGAGGAGGTGCTGGTTAGAGAGCCCTCGTTCTGGAGCTGTCCTGTCTGGCTCCCACATCTCGGGCACATGACGTAACCCGTGAGGCCTAGTTTCCGCATCTCTAACATGGGAGATCAGGCTGTAGTTGATGGTTACGGAAAGTACCTGGTGCTGTGTCCGCCATAAATCCTATCAGCTGTTACCGCTCTGCGGGCTTAGCAGGCTCTTCCGTGGGTGTGTTAGGGTAGGGGCAGATGCGAGCTTAGCAGGCTCTTCCGTAGGTGTGTTAGGGTAGGGGCAGATGCGTGCTTTTGAACTAAGTGGAGCCCTGTCGTGCTGTATTCTGTAATGTCTGACTACTTTGACACTCATTGTGCTTATGAGAATCATCTATGTGGAGTAACTAGTAGGGATTTTTGTTGTTTTTAGAATTATTTTATTTAAATTTGTTTTATTTATTTACTTAAATTTTTTCAGTTAACTTTATTCATTTGTTTATTTCAATTTGACCAGAGAGGGAGAGAGGGAGAGGAAGAGAGAAAGTGAGAAAGCAAGCCGTCAGGTCTGAGACTCAAACCTCTAAACCCTGGTCAGCCATGTGGGAATCCAGTGCCCTTAACCACCACGCCACCTGCCGGCCCCTATTTATTTATTTTTAATTAGACCAGAGATGGATAGATTGGTGGGGGTGAGAAAGCAAGCTGCCAGGTCTGGGACTCGAACCACAGTTGGCCATGTGGGAGTCCAACACCCTTAGCCACCATGCCACCTGCTGGCCCCTTGTTTTCAGTTTTGGTTTTCTACCAGTAGGAATTTTTTTTAATTCCTTTTAATTCAGATACAATAATAACTTTTTTTAAAGAATTATTTAATTGTATTTTATTATTATTATTTTAAATTTTGCTATAGGGTACATGCAACTCACAGAGAGACACTCCGAGAGGGACGGAGGAGGAAAGTGAGAAAGCAAACCACCAGGTCTGAGACTCAAGCCATGGTTGGCCTTGTGGGAATCCAGTGCCTTAACTACCATGCCACCTGCTGGCCTCTATAATTTTTTTGAGAGAGAGAGAGAGAGAGAGAGAGCAAGAAATTACCCTCTGAGGGAATGGCCATGCCATAGTCCCTTCTCCATTTTCCTCTTGAGATCTTGGCCACACATGCACACACACATACCCGACTTGAGTTTTAAGCTCCCAGGTCCAGGATTCAAACCACTGTCAGTTACACGGAAGTCCAGTGATGTAACCATTACGCTATCTGCTGGTTCCATAAAATAATAGCTTTTAAGCGGGAAAAACTGCCTTTCGATAGGAGGAGGTGGACACCCTCGAGCAGATACAAATCTGAATGGGGAGTTTTGATTCCTGTTCATAGGCGGTTGTACTGTACTGGTACTGCTTTAGATTTTAGAAGATCTGTGGCTCAGCTACTCATTCATCGTGATTTGTAGACTTAGCAGATACTCATGTTTGTTAGGAGATAAAGTGTGGTGAGAGGAAAACGCTGCTTTAGAAGTTAGCTATTGACAGAGCCTGGGGAATTCTTAGCTGCGCAGACCCAGGGTTGGAGTTAGATTGCGAGGAGGTAAACCCTTAGTTTGAAGGCTGTTGCAGCGGGGATACTGCCCACCCCTTGCCTGCCTCGCTCACATTCCCGCTGAGGCCCCGAGCTGGTTTTCATGGACAGTAGAAGATGTCCTGACTATACTGTCTTGCAGGAAGCCTTTGAGTTTAAGAAGCCGGTAAGACCTGCGTCTCGTGGCTGCCTGCACTCTCCTGGACTTGAGGGGGGTACAGATCTCTTCACACAGAGGCAGAACTCTGCCCCAGCTCGGATGGTATGTGCTCTGGCATTCGTGGGGGAGTTCATGATGGGTAGAGAGTTAAAGCACCCCCTTAAACCCAGAGATGAAGATAGTACAGAGGCTTTTGCTGTCCTTACCTGGGCTTTGTGTTTTGGAAATTGACCTTCAACCGTTCGTGTTTTTTCTGTCTGGAAACAGGCAGAAACAAGAGTGGGAGATGCTGCTTGAAATACTGGACTTGAGCAAGGAATATTGGACCTTATCGATTCTGGGGAAATCTGGCATGCATTTAGGTGTGTGATAGGATTCTCTCAAGATTGACTGTTACAGCCTTTTGGTTAGGGAGGCAGATCCCACATGACTGACCCACAGTTTGAATCCAGCCTGGAGGCTTGAAAAACATGCCAGGCACGTGTACGCATGTGTGTGCCAGAATCCCAACTGGGTGGGATTAGGATATAACCATGCCCCATTAGGGGGTGCTTTCTCCCCCCTCCTCTCTATCTAATGCATGCATCCTCTGGCAATTTTTAAAAAGTAAAAATAAACTTATTATCTTACAATGCACCCAAGTAGGGACCAGCAAGTGGCGTAATGACTATGTCGCTGAACTCCCATGTAGTCAACCACCGCGGTTAAGGTATCAGACCCGGTGACTTAAACTCACACTGGGTGCGTGTGCGTGCCCAAGATCCTAAGAGAATAGAGGAGAAGGGATTGCGGTGTGGCCATCCTCCCTAGGGGATGATTTCTTGCTTTCTGTCTCTCTGTCTCTCTTTTTGGTGAGCGCACTTGCCCTGTAGCAAAAAACTCTCAAAACAAAAAAAACACAATGCACCCAAATAGTAAGGTACTTCCCAAGAGTGATTTTGTTTGGGGAAAAACACTTGGATTCTGGGGCCAGCAGGTGGCATGGTGGTTAAGATGCTGGAATTCCCACATGGGTTCGAGTCCCAGACCCGGTGAATTGCTTTCTAACTCTTCCTCTCTCACTCTCTTTGTCTTTCTCTGGCAAAATTCATGTGAAATAACTAACTAACTAACTAAATAAATAAATAAAAATAATTCTTTAAAAAAAAATAAACAAAAAAAGCCCAAACAAAACACTCGGATTCTGCCAAAGGTTGTTTATTAAGAACTGTTAATGAGCTGCTTGGTAGTTGGGGCCACTTGTGTCAGTATTATTTATTTGTATCTGCTATACATAGACTATCATTACTTTTTGAGTTTCCTGCTGCTGATCTGTGTTGGTTGACCTGACAGCAGCTTGAGCTAGAAAGGCTGAACTTGAGTAAAACGGCCATGTTTGGTTTTCCTGGAAACCTCCCTTTGGAAATGCCCCTCTCCAGTCGGGCTGGCGGTCTGTTCCAGGCTCAGCCGGTGTCGCTGTTCTGCCCGGCCTTGTGCACAGCACTGCATGTTTCTTTCTGCCTTGGCTCTCTCAACCTGTGACTTAGCTGGAGTGTGCCCACACGGCCGTTTAGGAACGCACCATCGAGGCAGTGGGGTGGTTTGTCAGAGGGTGTATACATAGACCAGACTCTGACAAAATCTCGATTCCCAAGTACTCCACACTCTGACACTGGTGTCAGAAACTGGGTGTCTGCAGGCCGTGCTTGGACCAGAGCACCAGGGTTTCCTGAAACTGCCTGGCCACCGTAACTACTGGTGCCGAGAGTGCACACAGCAATGAAGCACCTCAATGTCGACCTCACTGATTTGGCTTTGGGTCCTTTCAGAGGGGATTTTTTGTTTTGTTTTTATTTTTCATTTTGTTTTGGAGAGGTTTTTTGTTGTTGTTGTTATAGGGCACGTGTGCTCTCCAGAAAGACAGAGAGACAGAAAGTGAGAAATCACACCCCCCCCGGGGGGGGGTGGCCACGCCGCATTCCCTTCTCCTTCAGTCTCCTCTTGGGATCCTGTGCATGCACACATACGTGCCCGGTGTGAGTTTAAGCCACTGGGTCTGGGACTTGAACCACGGTTGATTACAGGGAGTTCAGCAACATAGCCATTACGCTAACTGCTGGTCCCACTTTGTTTTTAAATTTTTAAAGGTTGTTTTTTTTTTTCTTTTTGTTTTTGTTTTTTGCCATAGGGCATGTGTGCTTATTGGAGAGACAGAGAAAGAGGAAAAGTGAGAAATGATACCCTCCAGGGTGGGGTGTTGGCCACACCACAGTACCTTTTCTTACATTCTCTTGAGATTTTTGACACACAGGTGCCCGGTGTATTTTTCAAGTGCTGGAACTAGGACTCGAACCATGGAGCTACTCACACGGGAATCCAGTGCCTTAACTAGCACGCTACCTACTGGCCCAGAGTGTAGTCTATCTTTGCTTTTAGGCTCTAAGTCACCATTTATGTATTTCCTCATACTGGCTTGTTGGTGGAAGGACCAATCAAGAAAGAATTAAGTCCTATTAAGAGACTTGTCTGTCATTTTCTTGATTACGTCTGCATCTGGGGATCTCACTCTTACCTCTTAAAGTCGGTATAACATGAGCCTTCAGGGCCAGCAGGTGGCTGCATTCTGCGTGACCTACTGGCTCGAGTCTTGGACCCAATGACTTGAAAATCCTGTTTTGGGAGCTGGCTGGTGGTGTGGTGGTTAAAGCTCTGGACTCCCACATGGTTGACCATGGTTTGAGTCCTGGACCTGGCAGTTTGCTTTCTTACTTTCTCTTTCAGGTCAAACTAATAAGTAATCATTGGTAAATAATAAAAAATTTTAAAGAAAAGAAAATCATGCTTGGTACATGTGCGTGAGTGCCCAGAATCCCAAGAGGAGGATGAAGGGATTGAGTGTGGTCGTCCTGCTGGGGAGCGGGATCTCACTCTCTCCCTTCCAGTCCCTCTCTTCCTCTCCTCTGTCTGTGTCTGGTAAGCACACGTACCCTATAGCACATTGTCTGGATATGCCAATGTATCCTGCACCTACTGAGGGACATCTTGGTTATGTCTACGTATTGGTAGTTTTAAATAAAGATGTTATAAACATCCATGCATAGGTTTTTGTGTGGACATAAGTTTTCAGTTCATTTGGGTAAATATCAGGGGTATTGGATCATATGGTAAAAGTATTTTTATTTTATTTATTTATTTATTTATTTGTGGGATTCTTTTTTTCTTGGAGAGGTTTTTGCTATAGGGCATGTGCGTGCACCAGAAAGCGAGAAGTCACCCCCACAGGGGGGATGGCCATGCCACAATCCCATCTTCATTCTCCTCTCGGGATCTTGGGCACGCACACATACCCTGCGTGAGTTTAAGCCACTGGGTCTGGGACTCAAACTGCCGGTTTTGTAATGAGCAAAGCTAGTGCTGGAACCAGAGTAGGCCAGCTGCAGAGAAGGTGCTTTGATGAGTGCCCACTTAGAAAAACCACAGGGGCACTTAAAGGCTGTCTTGTTCATAATCCCTGTTCAAAGGGATATGAGTTTCAGGAGTTATTTATAGGATTTAACCTTGGGAATACCTTGTTACTGTGAAAAACTAATGTCCCTAAGCTTTTTTTTTTCTTTTAAGAATTACTTTATTTAGTTATGTGTTTATTTATTTTATTTTAATCAGAGAAAGAAAGTGAGAAAGCAAGCCACCAGGTCCAGGACTCGAACTGCAGTTGGGCATGTGAGAGTCCAGCGCCCTTAATCACCATGCCACCTGCCGACCCTTCTCTAACCTTTTATACTAGCTTTGAAAAGTGCCTAGAGGGACCAGCAGATGGCATAATGGTTACATTGCTAGACACCCACATAATAAACTTCGTGTCGAGTTCCATACCTGGTGGCTCGAAACTCATGCCAGGTGTGTGTGTGTGTGTGTGTGTGTATGTGCATGTGTGTGCGTGTGCCCAAAATCCTCAGGGGAGAATGGACGAGAAGGAATTGCCGCATGGCCATCCTCCGTGGAGGAGGGATTTCTTGCTTTCTGTCTGTCTGGTGAGCACATGTGCCCTATAGCAAAAATCTCTCTTGAAAAGAAAAATGCCTAGAAAAGAATTTAGTTAGCAGTGTTCATCTCCATATGTGAATTAGTGAGTCCCTTTTCTACATTTTCTATATCGTGTGTTTTATAAAGGAGATTTTCCAAAGACGTGTAGGGTTGCCTAGCGATGTGCCGCCATTCTACCGCAGGAGTGGTCCTCCCCTAGGAGAGAGCAGTGGGCAGAAGAGCTGGGGCTGGCGGCCACACAGGCGAGGTGCGCCCTCTTGGTAACCTTGCTTAGGATCAGCTTCCCGATTTGCTGAATAGAGAAGGATTAGCTACTTTTGGTGTGTCATGAGACTTAAATGGGGTTTTCTCTGTGCCTGGCACCCAGTAATCTCTCAGTTAAAAACTGAGCAGCTGTGGGCCCCCTGGTGGCTTGGAGGTTAAGGTGGTTGGATCCCACATGACTGACTGGTTCCAGCCCCAGACCCAGCAGCTTCAAAAGCACAGCAGGTGCTCATGTGTGCGTGCCCAAGAAAAGAGGTTGCGAGTGGCTGTCCCCCCAGGGGGGCGATTTCTCACTTTGGCTTTCTCTCTGTCTCTCTAGTGAGCGCATGCGCCCTACAGCAAATTAAGCACAAAACAGAAGTGTGGCTGGCAGGTGCCGTGATGGGTGGGGCATGGACTCCCACATGGCTGACTGCGGTTGGAGTCCCAGACCTGGCAGCTTGCTTTCTCACTTCCCTCTTTCTCTCTCTAGTCAAATTTAAAAATAATAAATAAAATTAAATATGTCTTTAAGAAAAAAAAAAAACGAAGCAGCTCTCCTTATTTAAATCCCAGGGCTAAAGCATGAGGATAGACTTTAGAACCAGGTTACCTTTTATTTTCCTTTGTCAGAACTGGAGTTACGGGGAACCAGCTATTAGCGTAATGGCTATGTCGCTGGACTCCCACGTAGTCGACCGCGGTTCGTGTCCCGGACCCGGTGGCTTAAAACTCACGCCGGGCGCGTGTGCGTGCGTGCCCAAGATCCCAAGAGGAGAATGGAGGAGAAGGGATTGCTGCGTGACCATTCCCCCTGGGGGGTGATTTCTCGCTTTCTGTCTCTATGTCTCTCTCTGTCTGTCTGGCGGACACACGCGCCCTATAGCAAAAACCTCTCCAAAAAAAAAAAAAGACCTGGAGTTACTTGGGGCCGGTAGTGGCATGGTGGTTAGGGTGCTGGACTCTCATGTGGCCAAAAGTGGTTGAGTCCCAGACCTGGCAGCTTGCTCGCTCTCTTGCTCACTTGCTCTCTCTCTCTCTAACTTTGTCCCTCTCTGGTCAAATTTAAATAAATAAATAAATAAA